GCCGCTCCTCGCCCGTCGTCTCCCTCCCTCTCCTGCGGGGGCCTCCCGCGCCCCTGCCCCGTGGCCCTCTCCCCGTCGCGCCCCCGGGGGGGCGTCTCTGAGGCCGCCGCGGGCGGAGCTCGGCGGACATGGGCACCCTCCTCGCGGCGGGGGCGCGGGCTCCCCGCCCGCCCCCCTGGCCTCCCAGCCTCCACGCCTCCCCCTCCCTCCCTGCCTCCCCACCTCCCTACCTCCCCACCTCCTCCCCCCCCCCCTCCACCCACCCACCCCCCCGCCTCCGTCGGTTCTGTTTTCCCTGCTGAGTGCAGGCATGGGAGCACGACTTGACGTTCAGGCCACCGTTCGCCACCACCACCACCACCACCACCCACGGCAAGAGGCATCCCCTATTCCCTGCCTGCTCCCTCCTTTTCCTGGGGAAACCAAAAGGTACCGATACCGCTAATCCCCAGACCTCTCCCAGGGTGCGTTCTGACCAGAAATTCAAGGCGAATCCAGCGGTGGCATCGAGGGCCTCCCAGAAGGCCCAAAAAGGGAACAGCGAGGGAAGGGTAGAGGTATGGGTACCTTTTTGAGTATCGTTTAACCATCCCCAGCGGCGTGGCCTGGGCCCCACTGGCCGATTTATCCCCCTAGATGGGGATATAGGCCGTGCCCTTCGGGCTTCGAGGGGTGCATCCCCAACTGGGGTCGTAATCTGGTGGGGGTCGCGAAGGGGATGGGGATGGGGATGGGGGCCGGTGAAGCGATGCTGACTTTTCCTCCTCTGGCTTTCCTCCCCAGGCATCACCCCCAGTTGAAGGGGCCCAAAGACACACAAATAAATACACACACAAACAAAATAATCCCCCATATTTTCCCACATTTTCTGGGTTTCTGTCTCCCGCCCACTTCCCGTGTTTTCCCATATGTTCTGGGATATCGAAGACTAATTGTGTCTGTGTGTTTCTCTTCATCCTGACCAGTGCTCCTCCTACGCCCTCCCCCTCTGAAGGGGAACTGGAACACACAAATAAATACACACAAATAAAAATATCCCCATATTTTCCCATATTTTCTGAGTTTTTGTCTTCCCCACCACTTCCCATATTTTTGCATATTTTCCTGGGAGTCGACGATTAATTGTGTCTGTGTGTTTCTTTCCCTCCTGACCCTCGCAGGGCGAGGGCAGGGCGTCGGCGCCGCCGGGCGGAGGCGGCACGACCCCGGGATCTCGGAGGGAGCCGGCGGGCCCGGGCAGGGCGCGCGGCGGCGCGGCCAGCCCAGGGCGCTCTCGGGCGCGGCACGCGTGTGCGCCGTGGGCCCGGCGGGCCCTGCCCCCGTGGCACCGTCAACCCTTCTGTAGGGCGACGAAGTCTATACATATCCACTGCTCCCTGGCCAGGCCCATAGTGAGCCCGGCAGCGGTGTATACGCGAGGCCCTCCTGGCTTGGCCAGGAGGGCGTATACACAGCTCCTGGGTTCAGGATGGGCCTGGCCAGGGAGCAGTGGATATGTATAGATCTCGTCGCCCGACTTCTGGTGAGGATGCGCGATGGGGATGCAAGGCGAGCGGTAGCACGTGAGCAGATGAGTCCCTCCCGGACGCAGGTGTGCAAGGATGTGCAGGAGTCCTTTTCAGTCTCGTGCAGTCTCGTCTTTGACGCGTCTTGAGCCATGACATTTATGTTACGGCCATGCATCGACCTGTGCATTAGACGGGGCCCTAAGGGAACTCTAGAGGCCCCGAGAGAGAGGTCCCTTCTCCAAAGGTAACAACTTACTCAAGGGCCCTTGGAAGGCCGCGTCGAAGCTTCTCGAGGGGGGGGGGGCAGCGAGAGCGGCCAGGGATGGGCCGGGGAGGCGGGCTGCAGGGGGTGCCCCCGGGGAAGGTTGCCCATGCTTGCTATGCGGGCTGACCGTCTTGCTCAGCCGGCCCAGGCACCGGGAGCTCGCGGGGAGCTCGCGGCGGAGTGGGCTCGCAGCACAACAGAGCACGGGGAATGGCGCAAGGACCTCCAGGCGAGGGGGGGGGCAGGGAGGAGGGAAGAAGAGGAGCACGAGGACGAGGAAGACGAGGAGGAGAGGGAGGGCATGGAAGCGGAGAGGGAGGAGGAGAGGGAGGAGAGGGGAGTGGAGAGGAAGAAAGAGGGAGACGGGGAAGAGGGGGGGAGGGGGAGGGGGAGGAAGTGCAGGGGTAGGGGGCGGAGGAGACGCACCGGGAGGGGGAGCGGTGAGAGAGGGGGAGGAGGGGAGAAGGAGAGCCCGAGGCTCCAAGGGGACCCCTGGAGGGCCCCGGAAAGACGACCACCGAGGACCGCCGAATGGTCCCAAGATGGCCCGAGATGGACACCAGGGGGTCCGCAGGGTCACAGAAGCCTCCCATGAGGACCCCTGGAAAGCTCAGAGACGGCTACCAGGGCCCGAGGAGGCGCCTGAAGCGGCCCCAAGGCGGCCCAACCGCGCCCCCCGAGATTCCAAGACTGCCCCAGAGGCCCCCCGAGAGCCTAAGATGGCCCAATCATGCCCTGGAGGTTTCCAAGGGTCCCCCACCTCCCCGCCGACCCTCTTTCGAAGTTTTCGAACAAGACGTGGCACACGGCGGCAAGTGCATCAAGTGCTAACCAACGCGAGCAACAACAAAAAACACGAGGATCATACATCATCGGTGCGTCATAAGTTCGGTGCAGTACATGGTCGACGTGCTGGGTGAATACAATTTGAATGTCGATGGAAAAGACGTATGATCCTATACGTGTGCACCTATCCACGCACATATAGAGATAGTCAAGTAAGAATGCATATGTGCATATAGTTGTATGCGAATACAAACAAACATATATGCATAATTCGATGCATCCATAAAGTCACAAATACATGCAAACATCTACACACGCATACGCGCGTGTCAAAGTATGTGTTGAAAGCTACGTTGTTTCAACATTGTGGCGCAGGTGATGTGGTGCGAGCTATGGGATGTGTGCTGCAAGCTACGCGGTGAAAGCTGCGGTACAAGCTACGTGACGCAATCTAAGCGGCGAGAAACAGGCGTTGCAAGCTATGCGAGGCATTATGCGCCTGGGACGTACATGGCAAAGGGAGGAGCAATCCAATGCAAGCGGGAATGGTAAGGCGCATGTAATATTGTAATTCCCCCGCTCTTCCCAGCCCCAAGTCAGGCGCATGCAACGCCCCCTTTTTGTTTATGTTCTTCGCGCCAGAACATGATCGGACCACGCTCCCGAGGCCACGACCCCTCGTCACAAGCAATGGGTCCGCGATCCCGAAGCCACGGTCCCTGGTGGAAAAACATGAGCGTGCACTCCCAAGTCCACAACCCCTCGTAAAAAAACAATGGGCCCGCACTCCTGAGATTCCAACACGGCCGAGGCAAGCAACCTAGGCTGGCAAGATAATTTTAAATGCCTCCAAGCCGTCCCAAGGTCGCCCCACGACGGCCCAAAATGGCCTCGAGGCGGCATAGTGGGCCCCCACGACAACCCGAGAAAGCCACAATGAGCCCCCAGTAAGACCCGAAGAAACAAAACTTCTATACGTCCGTTCAACTCTTGGACGATTTCGGCGTCTTCACATTGTTTGGCTTCCCAAGCAAGATATAGGATGGCCCTAAAAAGGCCTAAAAGGACCCAAAACTAAGCCAAGAATCCTCCAAGACGGCCTCAGGACAGACCAAGAAGGCCCCTGGACCACCCACGACGGACCCGAGAGAGCCCAGAGCTGACCCAAAAGGGCCTCTGGAGTGATCCAAGACGGCGTTAGAGGGCCCCCCGACGGCTCAAGACGGCCCCAAGACAGCCAAGAGACATCCCGGACGGCCAAGACGGCGCCAAAATGGCCCAAGAGAACCCCAGTACGGCCAGAAGGCCACAAAACGGTCCAAGGGGGCCCCAAGGAACCCAGTGTTCTTCAAAACCAGAATCATGAGAGCTCCTCAAAAAGTGATGACAAGAACACAAGCCACGACCTTATAGAGAGCGGTTCCTTTTCAAAATATGGCTCTCGCCTTAGCGCCGCGCACATTCGTCTGATCGAAAGCTTCCCGCCGTTTCGAAGGTTCCCATGGCTGATGTCTCAGGACTTGCGTTCTAACACGGTTGAGGACCGTCAGGGCGCAACCGTCACGATGATTCGCGGTGTTGAAAATCCCAGACATGGTTTTCTGGCACGGCTCAGGATTGAGTGACACTGCTTTGCAGCGTTGAAGTCCCAGGAATTGTGTTTGGCACGATTGGGGATGCTCTAGCGGTTGTCTTCCACTGGGGCACTCCCCCATTGAAAATAAATGCTGTTAGGGACCGATGGAGAGGGAGCTTGAAGGAGGAGCTATTGCAAGATCGTTGATGCGTCTTGGGTTTACTCTGGTCCTCCTCCTCCTCCTTCTCCTCCTTTCCTCCTCCGGATAATAATCAACATCATCATGAGAATCAGAATCAGAAGCAGCAGCATCATCATCATCATCATCAGCAGCAGCAGCATCATCATCATCAGCATCAGCATCATCACGGCGTTTCACATAATACTCGTCCACTACGATGCTCCTCATCCCCCTCCTCATCCTCCTACTTATCCCCCCCCCTCATCATGTTTCCCCTCATCACCCTGCTCGGCCCCAAGACGACCTCAAACGGTCCAAAATAAACTTAAAACGGTCAACCTATGACATGTGACGGCATTCCAACCGCTACCCCAACTGTCAATGCAAAGTGTGCGTTTCACGCCGCTCGATTCACATGCTACTCCCTCCCGTCGCCGCTCGACCGGTCCCCTCCGAGAGCAGTGGGCCGCCACGGTGGCGGGACTGGCCGCAGACAGCTGGATACGCGATACAAGCAATGCTAGAAGAATTACTCCGACGGTAGAACCCCCCATGATAATATATGTAGCTTGTCCCTTGCCCTTGTCTTCTTCGACTGGCGGAGGCATTCCTTCCGCCCTCTGCGTCCTCCTCCTCCTCCTCTTCCTCCTTCTCATCCTTCTCTTCCTGCTGTTCATTCTCGTCCGACCCGTTGCATGGGTTATCCTCTTGCTCTTCCGCCTCTTCCTTCTCCTCCTCTTTTTCCTCGTCCTCCGCGTCCTCCTTTCCCCCCCCCGTCCTCCTCGTAGTATTCCTCCTCTTCGTAGTTTGTTCCTCCTCCTTCACCTCCCCCCTTTCTCCCCCTCATCATCCCCGCCCCGCCTATTCTCCTCGTGCACCTTTCCTTCATCCTGGCAGGAGCGTGCGCGTCGGTGTTCCTCGGCACCGTCTCTAATGGCCGCATCGCGCAGCCGTTGGGACAACCCCGCCTGATACTCCCCCATATTCAGGCCTCAGGAGCCCAAAAGTGGCAACAACGACAATGTTCCGATGACCCGCTCGGAGTAAAAACATGAGCTGCGGGCCCCATAGGGAGGGGTTCCCGCCTGAGACTTCCTCGCAATTCACACACAGACAAGGTTTCCGCCTGAGACTTCCTCCATACTCAAACTTGAAGAGGCCAAAAATGACGACAGCTACGGGACTCCGATGACCCGCTCGGATTAGTAACATGAGCTGCGGGCCCCGTAGGATGGGGGGGTGCCCGCCTGAGACTTCCTCGCAATTCACTCACAGACGAGGCTCCCGCATCAGACTTCTACCAGATTCAAGCTTGAAGAAGCCAAAAGTGACTACAACTACAGGATTCTGATAACCCGCTCGGATTAGTAACATGAGCTGCGGGCCCCATAGGGAGGGAGCTCCCGCCTGAGATTTTCTCGCAATTCACTCACAGACGAGGCTCCCGCCTGAGACGTCCGCCATACTCAGGCCTCAGGAGCCCAAAAGTGACGACAGCTACAGGATTCCGATGACATGAGCTGCGGGCCCCACAGGGAAGAGGTTCCCGCCTGAGACTTCCCCTCAATTCACTCACAGACGAAGCTCCCGCCTGAGATGAGTGAGAGTGTGGAAGAGGAAGTGAGTGAGTGAAGGTGATGATGATGATAATGATGATGATGACGATGGTGATAGTGGTGATGATGAGTGTGTGAGTGGACGGAGAGGTGGGCGAGTGAGTGGGTGAGTGCGGGAGTGAGTGATGATGATGAGTGTGTGAGTGGGTGAGTGAGTGGGTGAGTGAGTGGGTGTGAGTGTGTGAGTGGGTGAGTGGGTGGGTGAGTGAGTGAGAGTGATGATGTGTGTGAGTGATTGAGTGAATGAGTGTGCGATTAGAAAAGAAGAGAGGGTGTGTTCTTGTTCCTGCGCGGGGTGTCTAGAGAAAACAAGAACCCCACTTTGGATGTGGGGAAAAAAAAACATAAACATATTTGTTGGCGCTCCGCGCGGATTTTTGGGATCCGCGCTGGACCCCCCTCCCTGCAGCGCGGAGCGCGCCAAAGGCGGCGCCGGAGGCGCCGCCGGGAGGGGCCCAGCGCGGATCCAAGAAGTCTGCGCGGAGCGCCGAAAGCTTATGTTTGCGTCGTTTTGTTCTTCTTCGAGAGCTATGCGTTGCAAGCCACGTGGTGCCAGCTGCGTGACGTCGCTCGTGCGGCGCCAGCTGCGCGGCGCGAGCAGCGCGGGCGCACGCAGCGCCCACGGGCCGCCCGCAGGGGCTCCCACGGTCGGCCAACAAGCCCCGGCACGGGGCTTGCACCGCCACGGCATCCCCCCCAGCAGGCGGGGCGCCCACGAGGCGCCCGCGGGTGGGCGTCAACGTGGAGCGCGTTGCTTTCTTTTCGGCGATGATGAACAGTATGGGGGGGGAGGGGGCCGGGGGTGGGGGTATACAGGGTAGTTTTTAATACATAGGATTCTTTGAAAAATATGTGATCTTAATACATGGCTAACTTACGAATAAAATTAGGCATGAACTCATCGTTGCTTTCAATACTAAATCCCTGCATTTTTAATACATGATCCGCACGCGGAGCATGTATTAAAAACGGCCCTGTAATGTAACGCCTCCCCCCCGCCGTGTGCCCGATGCGCACGGCGGCAGTGCCCAGAGCGCACTGGGGGGGGACGGGCGTTACGTTAAAGGGGGGGAGAAGGGGGGGGGGCTAGAATGCCCATTATGCCCCAAGCATAAAAAAAACACGCTCATGACACGAGGCGAAACACCGTCACACCCGTCCAGCTATTTGGCTAGCCTGACTAAGAATCCCTGAGCTCAAGCACTGCTTGCAAAAAGCAGGCCTCCCAAGAATGTGCAAGGAGGGAGGCAGGAGAGCAGGAAGAAGAAAGGAGATGCAATGGGAGGGCAGGCGACAGCAGAAGAAGAAGCCGAAGAAGAAGTCGAGAAAAGAGTAGGCGGCGGGGCCGAGGGAAAGGATAACAACGACGAATACTGGGTCAGCGGCTGGGATGGGAGACGAGGAAGGAGGCAGACAAGGAGCCAGAAGCGAGGACAGGGGTTGAGAGGCGAGGTGAAAAAAACGGGGTGGAAGAAGCGGCATCATCACACAGCGAGGAGAGAGTGGATAAGCGCTGCGGTCGGCCAGGGGAAGCAGAACAACAAGGCTCCACATGAAGTCTGAGCCCTCCAAGATGTCGCAGGGCAAGACTCCTCCCCTCAGAAAGAAGCAACTACCGCATAAACATTAACTTTCACAAGCCCACGCGGGTTTATTAGCTCGGCACCGGAAGTGCCGCCAAAGGGGGCCCAACGCCGACCCAAGAAATCCGCGCAGTTCAGGGGGAATACATGATGACGCAGTGCTTTTTCTCAGATATTCGCCCCCCTTTCCTTCTCTATCCCTCCCGAACCACATGGTCGCTCGACAGGGCATCCATGCTCCAGACCATCTCACCGCAAAGGGCTACCTCGTCTGCCATGCCGAATGTGACTCAGATAAAATCTTGACTACCTTCCCCATCGCCAGTCGCAATGACGGCTGGGCCAAAGCACTGACTCCAGCTTGCAACCAATGGGTAGCCGTCTAGCAAGACCTCACCTGGACCCTCCACTGGACCACAGGCAACGAAACCAGAATCACAAGAAACTGCCATTCGGCTGCGGGTCTGCAAACCTCCCCGAACGGTGCGTGTTCTGAAGGGGATCTTGGTCGACTCGGGTTAAGAATCCATGGTGCTGCCAAGTCCGAAACTGTTGTCTCGGGGAAGGAGGATGACGACACGGACGACGATGAAATGCTGATGGGACGGAAGGCGGACAGAACAAACCACAAGGCCCTTGATCGGCGGCGAACCCAGGAGGAAAGTGAGAACGAGCGGGCCTTCTCAATAGACTCAGACACCCCCCGACTTTGCGAGAAGTGTTCTGCACTTCCCCCGAAGATATAGATGACCTCTCAGAAGGCTCGAAGGCTTCTGAAAGGCCACGCCGCCTTCTGACAGGACATGTTCCTTCTCACTCCTGGGGGCACCAACAGATAAGTACCGATACCGCTACCCTGGATCTTTCCTGCGGCGCGTTTTGGCCTGAGTTTCTAAACGAATCCACCCGTGGCGACGAGGGCCCCCCAGAAGACCGAACAAGGGGAAAACGGGCGAAGGGTAGCGGTATGGTTTTTGCTTTCCTCCTCTGAACTTCCCCCCCCTCGCTCGCCGACGACTGATGGCAGGGCACCTCCAAGGAAGCACCCCTGGCAAAACCCAGCTGAAAACTGCCCGTGCCTCTGCCTCCGGCCTGGCCCCCGACGGTCCCTGGCCCTGGCGGTTCCCTCCGTCGCCGCCCACGGGACTCGAAAACGAGAAATACGATAAGGCGGGATTAAGTTGGTCTGGCGTGAACAGGTCTTGACTGCGCGAACAAGGCGGGCGCAGACGGGGACACCTTGCGCCAACCAGCCAGAAGAGACAACCAGAACCACACCCGACGAACTGGCAAGGGATGACAACTGGGTAGAGGCAGGGCAATTATAAAGACCAACCGTTCGAGTCTGGTGCTCAAACGAACATGTATGTGCCTCGTCAGTCAGCACTTGCAAACCAAGGGCCTAGTAACTGACAAAAGTAAAACTACGCTTGCACTAGAAAACGTTATGCGAACCACGTCCCTACTACAAAAGTACGGAAATACTGAAACAGCAGATAATTGACGGAACGACGCGTAGACGATTTCCGTGCGCAGCACTAAATAGCCTGCTGCTCCACGCACACAACTCATAGCAACAACCCCTCACTTGCATGATTCACTACGTCGCATTCGCGAACATGTCTCGCGACACGCGGATGCCGCTGTCACTCTCTAAGTCGCATTGGCGAGCATAGTTCGCGATGCGAATGCCTCTGTCCCCCCCTCTGCCTGAAGCCAGAATGGTTTGATGGCGAACGGTTCGATGACTCAGCGGGCGAGTCGTCCATGTTCCGGGTGAGATTGCTGCGGGGGGAACTAGGCACTGTCTTCTTGCGCCTCTCGTCACTCAGCCTGACCGCGGCGCGGTCGCAGCTGAGCTCCCCGCCCATCACGTCCACATGCCCCCGTCGGTCACGGGATCGGCCATCATGTCCCTCCAGAGCATGTCTACGATTCTCCTTGTGCGCAGCGGATCTGAGAGCCAAAATAAGTGGCCTGCCATGCTGTCCTCTGCATTCGGTCGCACTAAATCCACGGCAAGGGCCGCGAAGACGGACATCCCATTCACGACCAGAGGCGCTGGTACTGCAACGCCATCCACCTCTCTCGGCTCGCTGATCTCGTCGGCTGCGACTGGCCCCCGGACCATCTTGCGAAGCGCCGGGAGGTAGACCTGCAACCCATCAGCTGCACCGCACGCCGCGAGCAGCTCGGAGCCAAACGAAGACCTGCTCACAAGTCTGCGAACGGCTAACGGCTTCGAGCAAGCGGCAGATTTCCTTGCCCGCGCTGCGGCACTTGCCCAGACGCATGCGGCACCTCTCATGCCGAGCCCCGTCTCCTCCTCCCTCTTGAAAGACCCGTCGCTGCGCGCGCAGATCTGGCCGGCGCATTCCACGGCCGGGAAGGCGACGCGCGCCTCGATCTTCTGCGCGGCGAGGACCACTGAGTTCAGCGGTATCACGCGGCGCATGAGCAGCTGAATCTCGGCCCAAAGCGGTACCGCGATGCACGCTGCGACACGGCGCCGGGCGAACGGGGCGCTAGCGGCGGCCCCCCGCATGGAGACGCAGAGGTTCGGTAGTTGACCTCCTGCTGGCAGGTCGGCTTTCGCCTTGACCAGGTCGACGCGCCTGATCGGCATCTAGGCGTCGATGTACTCGTCCTGGTCGAGCACCACGGCGCCGCCAGCGCAGCGGTGCTGGTGCACCCCGCACTTGGCGCGAAGTCGTCGCAGTCGCCCCTCATCCTGCCGAAGACGCTGTCGACGTGGACGATAAGCCTGTCGACGTGCTCCGGGCATCCAGCGATCCTCAGATCGTCGATGCGCTTGGACGGCTTTAGTACAGGCTTGGAGTCGCCAGCAACACAGTTGCCCGACGCCCCACGCTTAACCCCGAGCTCCAGGCCCCACCTGGCGGTTTGGCGCTGCACTCCGGCGAGAGCGCAAACCTGGAGAGCTCGGGGCACGCGCACGCGGCTCGATGTAGCGCAGACACTCGGTCCTCTCGCCGAAGGACTCGCGGCCGGGCACCTGCCTAAGGACGGCTGCACTGCCCGCTGCTGGGCGGCAGGGCGAGGTTCACCTCGCGCGGCGCTTCACCTTGCTCCTGCATGTCGGCATAGGCCATGCCCCGCAAGGAAGCTTTCTCGACGTCCACGGCGACGTAGACCCAGTTCGGGCGACACGCCGCCCCCGAGCACAGCGAGCGCCGCGCGGCGCGCTTCGCTGCACCACGAACGCCCCCAGGGCGCCGGCGCCCAGGTCGTGGAAGCCTCTGAGCGCCATACGGCACCGGATGATTCGCGCGGTCTTGCCGTCGGGGCCTTTCCAGCGCCTCCACTTGAAGACGCACCTGGAGCACGCGGCTTTTCGGGCGCCCTTGGGCAGTCGCCGCTCGAAGCACTTGCAAGTGGCCCAGATGGTGGGCCTCGGGGATGGCCACTGCACCCTCCTAAGACAGCCCGGACACTTCCCCCCTGGCCAGGAGGTCGGCGTCGCGCTGGACGACCGCGGTCTCGACGGCGGCCCTCACGTCGAGCAGATCTGCCCAGGAATCGCCAGCTACATAATGGCTAGACGTTGCCTCGTTGCAGGTCAGGACGCCTTCGCGCGCCCCTGGGTCGAGGCAAAGCTCCACGCGTCTTCCTCGTTCGTCGCCCCCCCCTGGCGCGGCGCGGTCGTCAATGGCGGCCCCGCGCAGGCAGCGATGGCACTGCGCGCAGATGCCCTGACGCTGGCGCGGCGTCTCGCAGCACTGGGGCCGCTCGCGTCGCCAGCGGCCGAGACCGGGCGCGGCGCGCCTGACAGCAGCATAAAGCATCCGCTGGCTGTCGTCGCGCTTCAGCTCCTCCATCCCCCGGGCCATCTACTGCCCCTTCGACTCCACGCCGCGCTGCCGACGGCGCCTGCTGGATGTGGCCAGAGAAATGGCCGCCGGCCACTCTGGCATGTTCGACAGTGCCGACGAGGACCCCCTCAGTGGCACTCGCAGCGTTCTCGAGAGCGTCGATGCCACAGTCCTCGAACACAACATCAAGATCTCAATCCGCCCGCACGTTGCGCTTGCACGCCTCGCACGTGCAGCGCGCGCGCCCGGCGGCCACCCCACTCCAGATCTAGCCCTCCGCGGCCCCAGAGGCGACGGCTGGAAAGGCGGCTGCTGCAACGTCACATTCAAGAACATAGTTCGCGAGATGCGCGCACCTGGAGCGGCGACGTAAATCCACGATACATTACACAAGTCATTCGGCTATCTTTCACGGCCAAACTTCGGCGTCGAAGCCGCCACGGCCCTCGACGCGGGCGCGCCGGCGATTGCTCGGGCACTTGAAGTTGCTGAACTGCTCGTCGACGCGGGATGTCGGCGACAAGACCTATGGTTCTCCTCCGGAAACCACCGCGACGATCTCGGAGTCCGAGCACGCACTGGTCGAAGACGGCTGCGCCCACGCCAGGTGCTACAAGCACGTCTGTCCACGGCGGCGGGTCGACGGAGCACAGCCGCGACGGGTCGGGATGCTCGTCGACGAAGGAGCCGCCCAACCCCTGTTGCAGTTGCGCGATGTGGCCGCAAAACCGTCCGCGCGAGGCCGCATCCTGGTAGGAGCGCAGCCACGCGGCGGAATTGCGCTTGTAGTTGCACGTCGCCCAACGACCGACTGGCCGACACGCAGGGGCCATGATGGCCACTAAGAGGTAGATTTTGCCGCATGTCGTCTCCGCGGCAAGTTGTTGGCGTTCGTCGTTGAGGTCACAGCCTGCGAACAAGCCGACGTCGTCACGAGCCTTCTTGAGGCGGCGTCGGACAGCCAGCTGGCTAGCCCGAGCCTCCCCACCGCAAATCCCGATGATGTCGCCACCGACGTCGAGTGTGGCGATGTAGGTGAGGAGGTGGTGAAAGGCGTCGAACTCGGCAGGCTGCGACGTCGCTTGAACGCTCGTCAGATGGTGATCTGATGCCGGGGCCGACGACCCCTGGAATCCCAACGCAGGCAAACCTCAGGCGAGGCCACCGCGGAGTTCGTCTTCGCCGCACTCGCCGGCGCGACCAGGCTCGCCAACGGCTGGAACACCGAGAAGATAGGGAGCGAGGCCCGCGACGTCGGATCCGCAGTCGTCGCAGCGGTCCTCGACGATGATTTGCTTCCAAGCCTTGGGCACACGGCTCTCCATCATCTCCTTCTTCTCCTGGCGCACGCGCCCTGCCGTTGGGAAGGCGCCAGCAACAGAATCACCAGGTGCCCCACGTCCTGTAGCGGGATGGGTGCTACCAATATAACTGCTAGAAGCCTCCCGTGACTGCTTGTTCTGATGAGTCGCGACTGGTGGCTCGGCTGCGTCGTGACTGGCGACTCGGCTGCATCGCGACTGGTGACTCGACTGCGTCGTGACTGGTGATCTAGCGGCGTCGTGGCTGGTGACTCGGCTGCACCCTGACTGGTGACTCGGCTGCGTCGCGACTGGCTCGGTGGCGTCGTGACTGGCGACTCGGCGGCGTCGTGACTGGTGACTCGGCTGCGTCGTGACTAGTGACTCGGTGGCGTCGTGGCTGGTGACTCGGATGCGTCGCGACTGGCGCGTCGGCGGCGTCGTGACTGGTGAGTCGGCGGCGCTGCGACTGGTGACTCGGCTGCGTCGAGACTGGTGAATCAGATGCGTCGTGACTGGTCTCCGCAGTGTTGCGACTGGTTCACGCGCCGCTTGTCGTCGTGGTTCTCAACGCGCTGCTCAGCGCCCTGAGGGCGCTGCATGGAGCCACGCTTGACAGTCCCGATAGAAAAGGAAGCAGCGTTCGAGTCTGCTGCTGAAACTGCTGCTATGCCTCGTCGGGGACGCACTGCCCACGGCACACCGCTGCCGGTTGAAGCGCAACCGCAGCAGGGCGGACGCTACACATCGCGGCACATCAGGCCCAGGTACTGGCGGCAATTCGCGGTCGCCCAGTCGTCGACGCACTTCCAGCTTGATCCTACACCAGCAAAGCCGGTCGTGGATGGCCTCCCCAGTCAGCGCCACGAAAACAACGTTGCTGCGCTTGGCCCCTGGGGCCAATGGCTCGTTGAAAAAACCCGGCGCGAGCTGGCGTAGAGCACGCGAATCTAGAACGCGTCGCCCTGCCGGCCGTTCCCACTGCGGGCCGCTCCGGCCGATGACCACCACTGGCGGCGGCGTCCTAGATGCGAGAGCGCCAGAGAGGTAGGGAGTCGAAGATAAGGTAAACATCGCCCACGAACGTCGCACGCGATCCACATGACGGCCCGACGGCATCATCGTGATCGGCGGCGCGGATGACGTCGAAGCCGCAGTCCTGCCGCGCCCGCGAAGTGCCGCGTTCCCGCAAGACCCAGGCAGGTCGGCAAGGCCGACCTGGCGGGCCGGCCCAGCAATGTCCTAGCGCGCAGGCTGCCTAGGGCAGTCGGCACCATAGGTGCCAGTCTGACCCTCGGATATCGGCCTGGCCACGTCGCTCAGGATGGCGTCGTGGCTGAGGCACGCCATGCCAGCATGTCCAAAAATAACCTGATCCCCGAGACCATGACAGTTGGCTGGAGACGACCATGATCTCGACGTCGCCGGCGTGCTGATTCAGGATTAACTGGGTGGCGTTGCGCACGATGACCTAGACCTCCCCGCGGTAATCGGGGTCCACCACGCCGCCAGCGATGTCGATGCCTTTGAGCGGGACCTGAGCGTAGGGCAATACAGACTGGCGTCGGAGCTGGCGCGCAGGTCGTAGCCAGCCGAGCCGGTGGCGACACGCACAAGCGCTCTCGCGTTTTGACTGCGAAGTTGGACCTGTACCCTGTGAAAATATCGTCCGTCGCCGTCGCAGTGATCCTGGCTGTCGTTGCCACCGGCCAGCAGCTTGAGCTGAATAGGCGGTAGACCCCAGAGTGCGGCTGAAGCTTGCCGAAGTCGCAGATTGAGAATGCACAGGTGACCACTCGGCGCTGGCTCCAGAGCGACACGTATCGCATCTGGGCCCCCGAGTGATCCCGTAGCCGACTGATCCGGGTAAGGCGAATCGTGTGTGGTCAACGCCTGACTCCACGACCCCGCTGTTGTCGGGAGCGGCCAAGAGGGGGTTGTCCAAGAGGGGGGGGGCAGACCTATAGCCGGGCAGGGAAAGAGCGTCGCCGGCACCCTCCACGGCCGGAGAGCGCGCACGCCGTGCTGGGTGGTCACGGCACCGCGCGGCGTTGTGGACATGGGCCTGTGACTTTCTCGATTCGCCGCCTCTGGCCCGTCGCCAGTTCCTGCCACTCCGAGGGCTGGAGCTTCGCCTGCATGGTTCGCCGGCCCAAGCTCTGAGCGAATCGCATGCCTCACAGGTTGGTCCAGGCGCCGAAGTCGAAGAGGACGCCTGATCGGCCGCCCGATAGCGAGGTGCTTGCCATGGCACGGCGAGTCGTCGTGTGAGCTCGAGCCTGGACCTGACGAAGTCGGCCACCACGGGAGCGTAGGCCCTTACGACGCAGGCCTATACGGAGGCACGTGCAAGTCCAGGTGCGCGAAACACATGGCCACCCAGCCCGATGGTTGGCTGGTCAACTGGCCTGTCTGTGTTGAACAGGGCCAGACCAGAGGGCCGGCACTGGCGGTGAAGTGGGTGCCGGTGCCGATTGCGGTGGCCAAGTGGAGCTCGATCCACATGGCGCGCCGATGCCAAGTGAAGCAACTGAAGGCATGTAGGCCCAGCTCGACAAATGCACGTCGGCAACTGGTGGCATGTGAGCGGCGACTCGTGCGTCGAGGCCGCCTAACCAGTCGCGACCCTCGGCCTGTCCCAAAAGGAATGCACCGCCAACTCGTGTCTACTGTGGTGGTGTAGGTGATGCTGCTGGAGCCGTCGGTGCTGCAGGTGCGGTCGGTGCTGGGCCCCCGCTGCTGCCGCGCGCGGGCCTGCAACATAGTCGCAGGACCCGTTGGCTGAGAAAAGGCTTGCACACGGCCCATGCGGTCGCCCACTTCTCGTCGTAGTCGTCGTACTTCGGCGTCGCGGGGGGTTGGGCGATGACGAGGAAGACGATGCTGCACCAGCCCAACGTGACCACTGGCTGTGGCCAACCTGCTGCCACAAGCCGTCGGACGACGAGCCTGGAGCAGCGGCTGCTGCCGGTGGCCGCTGCGATGCTGATGCTGGCGTTGGCTGTCAGCCATTCCAGGGATCAGCACTCTGCACGGGGTCACTCTCGCTGGAGCCCGCAGTCACAGACTGCCAGGGGCATGCGGTGTCCCTGATCATCCAGACTGCAAATGCACCCGTCAATGGCTGCTGCTCAGCTAGGCTTGGTGGCCCTTGCTGTCCTAGGTGCGAGAGTGGTGTCCCCTGGAGGTCCCTGGAAGCCCTGGAAACCGCCGGAAGAAGCCCCTGCAAGCCCCTGAAGCCCTGGAGACCGCAGGAAGGTGTGGAAGAACGCATGGAAGCCAGTGGAGGCTCCCCGAGGCCCCCTGAAGACTCCATCCAGGCAGCCCCTGGATGCTCCCTGAAAACTGTCTAGGAATTCCCAAGAACCGCCCTTTGAGAACCTGCGAGTATCCGCCTCCGTGGCGAGACTCCATTATCTTGAGTTCTGGAAATCACTGGAGGCGCTTGGGTCTACAGGAAGACACAAGACATGAGCATAAATTTGCGGAGATCCAGCGCTGGCTCAAAATATCTTCGCGAACCTCTCATACAGTAGGGGCCCGACCACAAGAAATGTTCCACAAGAATCCGAACCCTGAGACCCCAGGACGTCCACTGATTTTTGGTGTGGGAACGTCACGCTTTCCATAATTAGCAAAACCATCGAAACCCAAGAAACCCAGCGCACCCTGGAGGCAAGCAGGGTGTTTCTTGGCATGGGTCTCCACTGTAGCGTATGCTCATGCATCGCATGATTATTCTTATAAGTAATATTATTGTTATTATTGTTTTTGTCATTATTCGGACACGGCAGCCCTCGACGAGCGGGGCTCCGCTCCGAGCGTCCGCCTCCTCGGCCGTGTGATCGGCATCGTATCGGCCACGGGCTTCGCTCCCCGCTTGCGCCGCCGCCGCCGTTGCAACGCCCGGCGCCGGTGGTGCCACTGCCGCCTCGGGCAGCATGCCAGAAGGGGACGCCGCCGCCTTCAGCAGGGCCTCCGAGGGGGCGAACGGCGCCAGACGTTCAGCCCGCCACGGATGGCATGGCGGATTTCGGACACCTGGAGCCCAAAAGCGTTGCCATCCCCAGGGGGCGCATGTTTTACTTCCGCCAAATTCCGCCGCCCTTCCGCCGGCTTCCGCCGGCGGAAGCGGCCTCGTTTTTCTACCGCCGACCTTCCGCCGCCCTTCCGCCGCCTTCCGCGGCGGAAGAGAGGACAACTCCTTCGATCATCGAAGACGAGGCCGTTTTTGGAACGCCTCACGTGGGCCGTGTACGGCTAGGGCGAGAAGCCCCGCGTGGAGGAGGAGGCGGAGGTGGAGGAGGAGGACAAGGAGGAGGAGGAGGAGGAGGCGGAGGCGGAGGCGCTAACGGAGGCGGAGGAGGAGGAGGAGGCGGAGGAGGAGGCGGAGGAGGAGGAGGAGGAGGAGGAGGAGGAGGAGGGCTTCACCCTCCCGCGGCGGCCACCTCCCCCGTGCCCCCTTCCCGGGCCTGCGCGCCGATCCCGCCCCCCCGCGCCTGCGTCCCTGGCCAGGCCGGAGGGGCCGACGCCGCTCACGAGGACCATCCTGCTGCGCGCGGCGCGCTGCGGCAGGGGGAGCTCCGGCAGCGGCGCGGGAGACAGAGAGAGCCGCCGCGTCAAGAAGGGCATCACGGGACCACGAAGTCGGGCGCAGAAGCGACGCGTCACGGTCGACTGAGCGAGTGCGTGCGCGCGCGTGATGTGAAGGGTGCGGCAAAGGTCAAGGATACCTGTTGTGTCGTCTTGACTCCATCGCATCAACCTGCCCCTCCCCCATCATCTTCCCTCTCTCCTCTCCCCCATCATCTTCACTCTCTCCTCGTCCCTCCCCCTACATTACCTCCGCTCGATCCCCCTCCTCTCCCTTTTTCCTCTCCACGTATCCAAAATCAATCCCTCGTCTCCCCCCCCCTCCCCCTCTTCCTCCGCCTCACACGTGTTGGGCCGCACCTGCCCCGCGCCCAGTTCCTGGCAGCGAACATACCCGGGCGAGGCGCAGAGGGTGAACTCCACGCTCGAGCGCCTCTGGATGTGATCCTCACCCATCTATTCTATGGGCATGCATCCGACGCGAGCTGCGCGCACACGTGGCAGTCAGCGCCACCTCTTGTGCAGACGGGCGCGCAGGCGCGAAGCGCTGTTGATCAGATCGAGTCTCCCCTCTCTACCTCCCCTCCCCATGCCTCGACGACCCATTCTGGGGAAGGGGGGCACTTTGTTCCCCAAACCGCTCGTCTGTAGGGGCCTACCTTAAGCTTCGAGCTTCAAGTCACGCGTGCGCTCCTCTGGAAAAAAAATCGGCGGACGCCAGTGCAGTCGGCATTGTAGCCCGAGCCAGCTACTGCACTGGTGGGCGCACACGCCCGCGTACTCACCAGCAGAGGACTGTCCAGCCTGCCCATGTTGATCGGTACCAACATGCAGCAATCGATCTGGACCGCGGCCCGTGGGGCTGCACACTGACGGTCGCTGGTCGAGACCGGCACTCATGCTCCAGCCTCCGCGTGGTGGCCTTCCAAGATGCCGAGCGCGATTGGAGGAGACGAAAACCCACCCCAACCCCCAGTCCCGACCCCATCCCCGAACCCGCAATCCAGGAGGTCGGGACTGGGAGTGGGGGTGGTCTTTCGGGGTCCAAGAATGGAGAAGGCGCCCCCACCCCGAGTCCCGACCACTAGAATCGCCGGCTCGGGGATGAGTCGGGACTGGGGGTGGGGGGGGTCGCCTTCTGAGCGATGGCCTCGAAACTCAGCAGTGGCACAGCAGCGAACCCCAGGGCCGACAGTTGTCGTCTGAACCCTGTGCGCCAAGCCGGGGAGCCATTCCTTCGCCTCGCAGCTCCTCCACCCGATCCCGCCTCCTTCTAGGGCACGAGGAGGAAGAGGAGGAGGGGGAGGAGGAGGCGGAGGAGGAGGAGGAGGAGGAGGAGGCGGAGGAGGGGGGGGAAGGAGGAGGAGGAGGAGGAGGAGGAGGAGGAGGAGAGGAGGAGGAGGGAGGAGGAGGAGGAGGAGGAGGAGAGGGAGGAGGAGGAGCAGGAGCAGGAGCCAGGAGCAGGAGGAGGAGGGCGGGAGGAGGATGGAGGAGGAGGAGTGGAGAGGAGGAGGAGGTGGAGGAGGAGGAGGAGGAGGAGGAGGAGGGGAGGGAGGAGGGAGGAGGAGGGGGAGAGGGGGAGGGAAGGAGGGGGGAGGGAGGGAGGAGGAGGAGGAGCAGGAGCAGGAGCAGGAGCAGGAGGAGGAGGGCGGAGGAGGAGGAGGAGGAGGAGGAGGGGGAGGAGGAGGGGGAGGAGAAGGAGGAGGAGGAGGAGGCGTCAAGACATGCTTCCCATCCGTCTACTCGGATCCGCTCCCTTTGGCGTTGGCCAAAACATGTGGTTGTGTTCGCCAGAATCCGCTTCACGGTTCCAAGAAAGAGGTGCTCGATTTAAATTCCAAATTCTTCGCCCCCCCTTCGGGGGTCCACTCCAGACGACCCAAGGGTATACTTCGCACAGATAGCCGAACGAACGGATGGTCTCCAAGATGGCGCAAGACGGGCCAGGTTGGACCAACACGCAGCCCAGTCCACAGGCGCAAAACATGTCCCCAGGATCGCCCAAGAATCCCTAGGAGTGACGAACGATCAACACGCACCCATACCCATAGGGGAGACGGAATGAGCTATGGGTGCGTGTTGTCGGATAGGGGTCCCCGCTCGAACGGTAGCCTCCTCAGGGGTCCGACAACCCGCACCCATACCCATAGCCAGTCCTTCTCCCTCTGACCTCCATATGGGTATGGGTGTGTGTTGTTCGTTCGTCAAGGAGGGGCCCACACACATAAGCCCCAAGACCGCCCAAGAGGCAACCAAGAACACCCCGACAGAGCCCCCAAGAGCCGGGCACAAGCTAACATGGACTACGGATCCGTGGACCTGGTGCGTGGGCGCAAGACCCGTGGATCGGGGACACACATCCCCGAAGCGTGGCGCCAGTGCCGCCGCATCTGGCGACGGAGCGCGACGATGTCGCATGGCAACGGGACCAATCGCCAATCCATGCGCCCGAAGCCATGTTTGCGCCTCCTCTTCGGACGCCCGAAACGGGTGCGGAAAATGGGTATACAATGCCCAACAACACATGTCGTCCCATGCGCCCGAATCCATGTGTGCGCTTCCTCTTCGGACGCCCGAAGCGGGTGCGGAAAATGGGTATACGATGCCCAACAACAAACGTCGTCCCAGATCCACAGCTGCCGCCGCGGGGCACCGATCGCCCCGATCCTCGGAAGAGGGCTCCCAGCTGCAGCTTCTCAGCCTCCGACGGGCACGCCCCCGACCTCCCCCCAACGGACCCCGCCCCATCGAGGCTGGCGGCGCGCTCCTCTCCCGCCGGGGCGAGCTCGCGGGGCTGCCTCGCGGAGGGGCGGGATGGCGGCAGCGCCGCGACTGCGACCGACGACGGCGACCTCGGCACCGCACAGGTCACGACGGTGACGACGACGGCGCCGGCGCCGAGGCCAACTACGGCGATGGCGAGGAGAACGACGGCGGCGGCAGCGGCGGCGACGACGACGACGACGACGGGGACGGGGACGTGCCCGAATCGCAGCCGGTCGTCGCGGCTGTCCTGAGTGCGCCCACCCTCGGAGTCGCGGCTCCCCGCCGAGCGGTCGACTCAGGCATCGCGAGAGGGGGCGCTGCGGCTGGGGCGGGAGGGGCCAGCGAGGCCATCGAAAGCCTTTCCCTGGAGCCCGCGGGCCAGCCAGAGGAGGGGAGTCGTCCTCGAGGGAGGGCGAGAACTCGAATCGACCCATCGACCAATGCTGTGCAGAAATCGGCGCGCAGGCATCTTCGAACCGACCGAATCGTGGACAGCCCTGTTCCCCCGTTCGCATCTCATCAATCTTCTGTTGATCCCGTCGCCGCCGCGGCCACCCACATCTCCCCAGCGCAGGGGTAAAAGGAAAGGTGGAGAAGAAGGAAAAACGGGTCAAGGTAGAAGAGGGGACGGGAGGACGGGGGAGAAGAGAAAAAGGGGCGGAAGGGAAGGGGAGGCAAGGGGAGGATAGAAGTGGCTTGGAAAAGAATACACAGAAGTAGGGGAAGGGGATGGAGCCCTGATCCTCCTCCTCCTCCTCCTCCTTCTCCTCCTTCTCCTCCTCCTCCTCCTCCTGGTTCTCCTCCTCCTTCTCCTCATGCTCCTCCCCCTCCTCCCCCCAACCACACCCACACACTCAATTATCATCCTCCTGCTCTTCGTATTTCTCCCCCTCCTCCTCGTCCTCCTCCTCCTACTCCTCGTACTTCTTCGTCCTCCTCCTCATCTGCATCAGTATCGTCGTCATACTGATCCTCATCTCCCTCATGTCACCTCCCTCCTCTCATCCCTGCTCCTCAGCGCTCATGGTCGTCGTCATCATCGTCATCATCGTCATCATCATCATCATCATCAGCAGCGGCAGCAGCAGCAGAATCATCATCATCATCATCATCAGCAGCAGCATCATCATCATCACCACCACCACCATCATCATCATCAGCAGCAGCATCATCATCATCATCAGCAGCAGCATCATCATCATCCTCATCATCATCGTCGTCATCATGATCATCATCAGCAGTAGCCTCATCATCAGCAGTATCATCATCAGCATCATCATCAGCATCATCAGGATCAGCATAATTATCAGCAGCAGCATCATCATCAGCAGCAGCATCATCATCGTCATCAGCATCACCAGTACCATCATCAGCATCATCATCATCCCCATCAGAATCACCAAAATCATCATCATCATCATCAGCAGCAGCGCCAGTATCAGCAACAGCAGCAGCATTCACATAATCATCAACGTCATTGACATCATAATCATCATCAGCAGCAGCATCGTCATCATCAGAATCACCATCAGCAGCAGCAGCATCATCATCACCATCATCATCAGCAGCAGCATCACCATCATCAGCATCGTCGTCGTCCTCATCATCATTAGCGTCAGCAGCAGCATCATCATCATCAGCATCATCACCATACAAGCCATCATCGAAATCATGGTCATGATCAGTATCATCATCATCACCATCAGCAGCATTAACATCAACACCATCATCAGCAGCAGCATCACCATCACGATCACCATCACTGTCACCATCACCATCATCATCAGCATCGTCGTCGGCAACAACATCATCTTCATCACCATCGTCATCATCATCCGCATCACCATCATAGTTGTCATAATCATCAGAACCCTCATCATCTTCCTCCTCATCATCCTCGTCATCATCATCAGCAGCAGCATCATCGTCATCAGAAGCAGCACAGCATCAGCATCAGCATCTTCATCCACATCATCATCATCCCCACATCGTCAGCATCACCACCACCACCATCATCATCCTCACCATCATCATCATCATCATCACCACCATCATCATCAGCAGTATGATCATCACCATCAGCATCCTCATCACCACCATCATTTTCATCATCAGCATCCACAGTATGCTCTTCATGACTGCCATCACCATCATCATGATCATCATCATTATCATCGTCGCCGTCATCATCAGCACCATCTCCACAACCTCCACCATCATCAACTTCAGCAGTACCATCACATTCGTCTCCTGCTCGTCACATCTCACTATCCTCCTCCTCCTCCTCCTCTTCCTCCTCTTCCTCCGCCTCCTCCTGTCTCCTCTGTCCTCATCATCTTCGTCGTCCTAACAATCATGATTTCCACTATCTGATTATCCTCCTCCCCCTCCTCCTCCTCCTCCTCCTCCGCCTCCCTCATCCCTCCACATCCTCCTCCTCCTCCACCACCTCCTCCTTTTCCTCTTCCTCCTCTCACTCTCTCAATCTCTCACTCGTTCACTCTCTCCATCCTGCTCCTCCTCCTCCTCCTCCTCCTCCCTCCTCCTCTTCCTCTTTCTCCTCCTCCTCCCCTCCTCCTCCCTGCTCCTCCTCCTCCTCCATCCTCCTCCTCCTCCTCCTCCTCGTCCACCTCCTCCTCCTCCTCCTCCTCCTCCTCCTCCTCCTCCTCCTCCTCCTCCTCCGCCTCCTCCCCCCACTCCTCCCCGCAACTTTGCCGCACCGGCCCAGGACACCGCTGGCTGGCCACGGGCCCGCGCACAGGCGGAGGCCGAAGCCGTCGTCCAGCAGCTGCGCCTGCGGTGGGGTGTGGTGCCCGGGGCCTCCGGGCGAGCACGAAGATGCCCCCTGGGGTTCGCTCCAGCGCGACGCTACGACGACGACGAGGGGGGGATCGGGGCCGGTTCGCGCCTCAGCACCTCGCCAGCCTCCCCTCAGGCCAAGAGGGTCAACGCAGGAGGGTTCGGCACGCCAGCAACTGCGCCAGGGGCGAGGGCATCAGCACGGGGGCCTCCGGGCGAGCACGAAGATGCACGAAGAGCGTGGGCCGAGGACCTGCGGGGGAGATTGGCTCCAGACAGGCTCGGCCGATCCCCACGAGGGCCCAAAGAGGGCCCCAAGGGGCCCCGAGAGCGGGGAGCCGTTGGTGGCACGCCCTTTAGATGGCTATACCAAAGCAGCACCGGGAGACCCCGAGATGAGCCCAGGGTGTCAAAGATGTTCCAGGACATATCCAGAGATACCCGCAGTCCTGGAGAGGGTCCCGCCTTCTCGACCCGCCCGGACCCCCATCGGCACCGCCGCGCCGGCGGCGGCCCGCGTGCCACTCAAGACGTAGATTCCAAACCCTCGAGACGCACCCCCTTCGTCGTCGATCGTACCACACTTGGGGATAGATCTTCCTCACCTGCCACGTGTACTTGGCGCAGCCGCCAAAACAGGGAAAGGAGGGAGAAGGGAAGAGACAAGGGGGAGGGAGAAGGATGGAGCACGAGAGAGAGATTTGCAGGAGGGGGGGTTCGATTTTAGGAGCAGGAACACAAGCGGCAGAACCAGACGGGCAGGCTAGGCGGGCGAACCCTGACGGGCAAGTCAGACGGTCGGTCGTGACGGCCGGGTCGAGCGGGCGGTTCGCTGAAGCGGCAATCCAACATGAATCGCAGGGAAGTTTCGAGCGATACCGCGATTCTCACGGATATCGCTAGGAGATACATAGCGAGAGTGTGACTCCTCAGCGTTTGGGGCACGGCGCCGCAATAAATTGTGAGGCCGTACCACGCAGGAGCGCGATTCCTGCATAAATTGTGAGGAAGTCCCACGCGAGAGCGCGGCTTTGAAATCAATTGCGAGGAGGTATTAAACGAGAGCCGTTGATATTGTTGTTTTGTAAACCCGCGGCAAACAACACAATAGGAGGGCGAAGCCTTTCCCTTGTAAAAACAGCGTGAGAGCCCTGGCAGGATCCCTTCAAAAAACAAGATGCACGAAGCTCGGGGGATCAACAATGCCCATTATTTAAATATTTAGAAAGGGCACTGCAAAACATATAACAACAGACAACAGACAACAAACAACAACAACAACAACAACAACAATCATTTTACCCGAACGCTCAGTGTTCTCCCCAGTGCCAGGGTTTTCATGCGACGCCAGCCAATACCCCCACTTCGTGGGGGGGCAATGCAAGCTCTACCAAACATCCACACGACTCTCGGGAACCACCCACACCCAGCTTCCCGCCCTATGACGTCAGGACACTTCACTTCGTGGCGCGCGGACGATCGTGGATACTACACTGGCGTGGAGTACACACCCGCAGAGGTTGATCACTTGTTTGGGCCCCGCATGTGCCCCGCATCGTGCATACTGCAGGTGTTTTTCGAGGACCTACGGTGCGATTCGTGTGATTTTATGATGCGCGGTGCTAAAATTCTTAAAAACCCAATGGTTTTTGGAGATTTCGGCGTGCGCGCGCGAAGAAAAAACGAATGTGTCCCGCATGGTATTATTTGACAGGGATGATGGCCCTGGCAGGTGCGCAACCGTTGTCGCAGAAGTTCGAAAAAGTTGCTCGCAAAAGCCCGTTTGACAGAATTGTTTAAAAAGTGTTGGTTTTCCTACGAATCCGCAAGAGCGCGCGGGATGAGATTTTGACAATTTTTTGTTGAAAAACCATTGGTTTTTTGATGTTTTTATGTTAAAATCGCTACGAAACTAAGGTTTTGGAAGGATTTCGTCTTGCGCGCGCGAATGTCCACTTTACCTTATTTTTTGCAAGGGATTCTTGAAATTTGATCAATAGAACAAGAATTTTCATTTTATAGTGTTTTTTGCAAGGGAAAACGGATTACAACAAAACAACCGGATCCGGTGACAATCCACTTTTCTGAAGCTTTCGCTAGAAAATGAAGGAAATGAGGCTGCGGCCTAGGTTTTGGAGGGGGGTCGCGCACCAGGGGTCTCAACAATAATATTTCTTTAGAAGTAATAATATTCAACAACAACAACAACAACAACAACAACAACAACAACAACAACAACAACAACAACAACAACAACAACAACAACAACAACAACAACAACAACAACAACAACAACAACACCAACAACAACAACAACAAGAAGAAGGACGACAACAACAACAACAACAACAACAACAACAACAACAGCAGCAGCAGCAGCAACCACAACACCAACAGCAACAACAATAACAACAACAACATCAACGACAACGACGACGACAACGACGACAACAACAACATCAACAACTACAACAAACACAAGAGCAACAGCAGCAACGACAACAACAACAGCAACAACAACTACAATAACAACTATAATAAAAACAATACAACAACAACAACAACAACAACAACAACAACAACAACAACAACAACAACAACAACCACAACAGCAGCAGCAACATCAACAACGACAAACAAAAGCCACAGCAACGACAACAACCACGACAAACACAACAACAACATCGTGAACAACAACAACAACAACAACAACAACAGCAGCAGCAGCAGCAGCAGCAGCAACAACAACAACAACAACAACAACAACAACAACAACAACAACAACAACAACAACAACAACAACAACAACAACAATAACGTCAAGACTGTTCGTTCTTATCTGCTCGCGTGCCATTCAGCACGTATCTCCCAAACCCTCGGTACCCGCCCTCTTCGTCTTCAGTCGTACCCACTTGGGGGTGTATCTTCCTTACCTGCCACGTCCATTTAGCAGCCCCTAAAACAGGGGAAGAGAGGACGGACGGAAGGGGGAGGGAGAAGGATGGAGCAGCACGAGAGAGATAAGCAGGAGGGGAGCTAGGAGCAGAAAACACGTGGCAGAACCAGACGGGCAGATCGGGCGAGTAGACCCTAAGGCCTGGGGGATCGGAAGGGCAGATCAGACGGGTAGATCGGGCGGGCAGATCGGGCAGATCGGTAGGTGAGAGCCCCGGGAGGAGCACTCTAATTGAAAAGCATGGTCACCGGAAGGAGGGGGCAACAGTTATTCTTCTTTAGCAATGAGACCTCAACAACGACAACAACAACAACCATGACAGCAACAACAAAAAGCACGGCAGCAACAATCACATTAACAAACAACAACAACAGCAACAACAACAACAACCACCACAACCACAACGACAACGACAACGACAACCACAACCACAACCACAACCACAACCACAACCACAACAGCAGCAACAACAAACAACAGCAAACACGACGACGACGACGACGACAACAACATCAACAACAATAATTTCAACAATGTTCGCTCTTGTCTTCCCGCGTGCCATTCAACACGTATCTCCCAAACCCTCGATACCCGCCCTTTTCGTCTTCGATCGTACCCCCTTGGGGATATATCTTTCTCACCTGCAACGTGTATTTCGTGCAGCCCCTCAGGCAGGGGAAGAGAGGACGGATGGAAGGAAGGGACAAGGGGTAGGATGGAGCACGAAAGAGAGTAGCAGGAGGGGGGCTAGGAGCAGAAAACACGTGGCAGAACCAGACGGGCACATCGGGCGGGTAGACCCTAACGGGCGGGTCGGGAAGGCGGGCCCAGGCGGCCAGGTCGAGCAGGCGGCTTGCTGAAGCGTGCGTCATGCATGAATCGCGAGGAAGCTCAAGCGATAGCGCGATGCCAAAGTAAATCGTGAGAATGGCCAAAGCGAGAGCATGACTCCTGCGTGTCTGGGGCGCAGCGTCTGAACAAATTGCGAAGAAGTCCCACGCGAGAGCTTATTCCTGCATAAATTGTGAGGACGTCTTACGCGGGAGCTCGATTTTGGAATTGTGAAGAATCATCAGGCGGGAGCCGTTGTTGCTGTAAACCGGAGCCAGCAACAGAGTTTGATGGCCCCACACTTTCCCGCATAAAAACAGGGTGCGAGCACCGGGATGAGCACACTAATTGAATAAACATGGTCACCCGAGAGACGGGGATCGACAGAAATTATGATTTAGCAATGAGACCTCAACAACGAGATCAACCACAGCAACAGCAACATCAACATAACACCAAAAAGCAGAAGAAGCAACAACGGCAAAAACACCAACAACCACAACACGACAAATACAACAACGACAACAACAACAACAACAACAACAACAACGACAACGGCAACGACAACAACAATCAACTACTACTACTACTACAACTACAACTGCAACTACAACTACAGCAACAACTACTACAACAACTGAAACAACAACAACAACAACAACAACAACAACAACCACAACAACAACAACAACAACAACAACAACAACAACAACAACCAAAACAACAATCACAACAACAACATAACAACAACAACAACAACAACAACAACAACAACAACAACAACAACAACAACGACGACGACGACGACGACGACAACGACAACTGCAACAGCAACAGTAACAACAACCATATGACAACACCCACTAGAACAACAACAATAACAGCAGCAGCAACAACAACAGACACGACGAAGACGACGACAACAACAACAACAACAACAACAACAGCAACAACAACGACAACAACAACAGCAGCAGCAATCATGTTCAGACTGGTCGCTCTTGTACGCTCGCGTGCCATTCAACAAGGATGTTCCAAACCCGGGAGGAGGATGGAGCACGAGAGAAAGTAGCAGGAGGGGGACTAGGAGCAGAAAACACGTGGCAGAACCAGACGGGCACATCGGGCGGGTAGACCCTAACGGGCGGGTCGGGAAGGCGGGCCTAGGCGGCCAGGTCGAGCAGGCGGCTTGCTGAAGTGTGCGTCCTGCATGGATCGCGAGAATGACTCGAGCGACAGCGCGATTCCCGAATAAATCGTGAGGTAATCCACAGCGAGAGCGTGATTCCTGAGTGTCGAGGGCGCGGTGTCAGAATAAATTTCGAGGAAGTACCACGCGAGAGCGCAATTTCTGCATCAATTGAGAAAAAGTCCCGCGCGAGAGCGCGTTTCGGGAATGAATTGTGAGGACATATCAGGCGGGAGCCGTTGTTGTTTTGTGAACCGGGGGCCAGAGGCACAGTTTGGTGACCCCTCGCTGTCCCTCGTAAAATCCAGGAACGGGCCCTGGGAGAAGCACTTTCATTGGAAAATGTCAGTGGTTACCAGAGGAGGGGATCAACAATACTGTTCGTTAGAAACGAGAATTCAACAACAACAACAACAACAACAACAACAAACAACCACCACCACTACCACAACCACAACCACAACCACAACCACAACCATGACCACAACCAAAACCAAAACAACAACCACAACAACAGCAGCAACACCACAACAACAACCACTACAACAACAACAACAACAACAATAACAACAACAACAACAACAACAACAACAACAACAACAGCAACAACAACAGCAACAACAACAACAACAACAACAACAACAACAACAACAACAACAACAACAACCACAACCATAACCGAAACAATGACAACAACACCAACAACAACAACAACAACAACAACAACAACAACAACAACAACAACAACAACAACGAGGCAAAAAAACAATGGCTATGGATTTCCCTCCTGTTCGCCTCCGATGCCCTTCGGAGGCCTCAGAATGGCTCGCAAGATCTCCACAGATAGCTCCAAGTGGACCCAGAAGGGCTTCAAGAGGATTCGGCTGATCTCCAGGAGGGTCCAGGGGGGACCCACTGGTCTGTCACACTATCTTCTCCATCAAAGCTCACCCGCTCTCTCCGGACCCGTGGTGTGCAGCGCGATGAATCAATGCGCGTGTACGTTGACCACGATGGTCGCGACGACGGCGGCGACGATGAAGGCGAGTCGATCGGAGCAGCACGCGTCCGCAAACGCACCATGACTTGCTCACCAACTCGAACACAGTCAACGGCGATGACAAAGACAAAACGAATGTAGTCACAGTAATGAAGTCAATAAACGCTATCATTGGGCAGTAGCGGCTGCACGGCTTTACGATGGCCTGGCTGGTGAAAACGATGTGCCTCTGCTCGAACGTCCGCCGGTCGCGGTACACGCTCAGAAGCTGCCCGCCGCGTCGGGACGACCGAAGGGAAGCTGCTACAACTGTTCCTATACATTCGCTGCTCTTTGCGCGCTCCTGCTCCGCCAGCCACGCTTCCCCTTGGGACAGCCTTCGCCTGCTATCCATGTTTAGCAACGGACCGACGAACAAACAATCTGCCACAGCACGTGCAGTTTAGTAGGTGTGGTCCATACCATGTACAGCTCTTTTATCTCCACGCAAGTGCTTGCACTAAGGGGCTCGTACTTCGTTCATAAATAGCTAGCCTCAGATGTTGGCTTCTCCGATGATTGACCATGGAGCCCTGGATCCTGGACTTGGTTGGGCCCTTGTGACCTGGGCTTTCCTGTGGTCGGCCAGAGGCTCCTGGCCTGAGTTGCCCCCGACAAGTGGGTTTGCCTGTAGTTGACCAGAGGCTCGCACACATCGGGTCCTGGCCTTGGCTACGACCGTGGTGGGCTTCGCGATGGCCGGCCACGCAGCCCCGAAAATGGGGCCCCGGTCTTAGCGGCCCCCGCGAGCTGGGCTCTGCGACGACTGGCCACGGGATCCCGCCCCGAGGGCCCCGGCCTCGATTGCCCCCTGCGTGCTGACCTTCGTGGCAGCTGCCTGCCCACAGGGTCGCAGGCGCACCATCCTGGCACCGCTTGCACCCGTGTGCTGAGTCCCGTTGCAGCTGCCCCCGTCGGGCTGGCCCATCGCAGCAGGTTGCCCACGCGGCCCCGCCGGGGGAGCCGCAGCCTTCGTGGCCCCTGCGCGTCGGGTTGCCAGCGGAGTACCCGAAATAGGCCCAGCGCGGATGGATTCGCCGCCTCGGTCGCCCGTGTGCACTGACTTTGGCGGCTGGCCTCCCCGTTTCCCGCGCACAGCGTCCTGGCGCTCAATGGCCCCCGTGTGCTGGCTTCCCGGTGACTGCTCGAAGAGGTCCGCGCCCCCCGCCTTTAGCGGCCCTGCCTCCGCCGACACCCTACCAGTATACGCATGTTCTACGTGCCAGCGCCTAGGCAGCTGCTCCCTCACGAAAACCAGACGTGGCGCCCCCACAGACGAGGCCCAACAGCGTTGCTGGAGTCATCCCAGATACCAACCTCTCCTGACCCTTGGAGCATCGGAGGCCCGAGAAGGCGAGGACGCTCAAACTCTTCAAACACCGATGGCGAATCAGTGATTGTTGCATCTTGGGGCTCTCCTGGGCGGCTTTTGCAACTATCTTGAGGGCGTAGTGGGGCGTACTGTGGGTCTGCTGGGCCGTCTCAAATACCGTCGGGGCGTTGGCCTAAGGAACCCTAAATAAGGAACGAGGCCCCTATTCTCCATAAGTGAAACTTCGATCTCGCATCGAAAACCTGAGGGAAATCTGAGGCAAGCTGCGAAACAATCAAGGAACACGGAGCCCCTCCCCAACGAAAAGGGTTCCTTCTTCAGGGCCCCGACTGTACATCGTGGGCTGCCTTCGGGCCCTCACGGGCCGTCACGGCGCTCTCTGCATCGCCTTAGACGGGCTCACCGCCCCGGAGGCCGACGCGCCACAGCCCAAGTGCGCGGGAACGTCCAGGAATTCTTGGGAATTTCTTGGTCCAGGCCCGTAAAAGCCTTCATCCATCCGAGAACGCTTATAATTTCACGAGCCGTGGGGCACTCCTACGTGCTGAGGCACGACGGAGAACACGGCGAATGCCGCACAGCCAACGGGTGTGCGAGCTGGGCAGTGTCGAGTGGGATATCCGTGGAGAGGTACTCACCCTGGAAGCCGCGCCCTGCGGGCTCGTGGCCCGCGACGCCGGTGCTCGCAGGCACCTGCTTCAGTGACCTGGGAGAAGCTGATCCTCACCCGCGTCTTTCGATCTGGAGGAGGGTGGAGGGTGGGAGGAGGGAGGGGGAGGAGGAGGGTGGAGGGAGGTAAAGAGGGAGGGAGGGGTGGAGGGTTGGAGGGAGGAGGAGGAGGAGGAGGAGGAGGTGCCGTTCTCTCGCACTGTATCTTGCTCCACTGGCCACTCTGGCCATGGAAGAGCAGGGAGGGGAGCGAGGGAGGGAGGGGAGGGGCGGAGGGAGGGAGGTAAAGAGGGAGGGAGGGGTGGAGGGGCGGAGGGAGGGAGGGAGGGAGGGAGGGAGGGAGGGAGGGGAGGGCGGAGGAGAGGGAGGAGGAGGGAGGGTTGAGGAGGAGGAGGAGGAGGAGGCGGAGGAGGAGGAGGAGAGGGGGAGGTTGAGGAGGGAGGACCCGAGGAGAAGAAGAAGCAGCTGGAGAACAGTGAGGAGGATGGAGGAGGTTGGGGCCTGGCGTCTGGCGTCTGGGGCCCAGGGGCCTGGGCCTGGGAGAGGAGCAGCAGTCGGGTGGAACGAAGCAGACTGGAAAAAAAGAGTGGAGGACTGGGGAGGAGCTGGAGGGGCGGGCTGGAGTGAAGATGACTGGAGAGTGTGAAGGACGGGTGAACAGTGATTAGAGAAGAACCGGGAAGTGCAAAAAGGAAGAGTCCGCCAGGTGGAGTGGATTGGAGTGGGCAGGAATTGGAAGGAGAGTGGAGGAATAGGGAATGATGAAGCGTGAAGAGGGGCAGGGAAGGGTGCGGAGAGGATCGGAGGAGAGCCGAAGAACGAAGGGGAGAGCAGGAACGGCAGTAGCAGAAGAAGAAGGATGAGCAAAATTAGCACTAAGAGCGCGACAGAGGTAGCGCGGCAAAAAGGGCGTGGACGGGCGAGGGAAATGTCAAAGATGATGAGGGCAGAAATCAACGCCAGCGGCACGTGGAAGGGCGAGGGAAAGGTTAAAGATGATGAGGGCGAGGGAAAGGGCGTGGAGGGCCATCCAGATCACCCCATTACCAGCCTGATGGGCTGGTCGAGCGGGCAGACCCTCCCCTGCGTGGGCCGGCCGGACGGGGCGGGCGGACCCTGACGGTCGGGTCGGGTCGGGGCGAAGCCTAACTCCCTGCAACCTTCCCTGCCTCTGTCGTGACTCCCCTCCCCCGATTCCACCCTCCCCGTGCCGTGCGCACCTACCCACTTCCCGCGAGGAGGAGGAGATGGAGGAGGAGGAGGAGGAGGAGGAGGAGGAGGAGGAGGAGAGAGGAGGAGGAAGAGGAGGAGGAGGAGGAGGAGGAGGAGGAGGAGGAGAGAGGAGGAGGAAGAGGAGGAGGAGGAGGAGAGAGGAGGAAAAGCAAGAGAAGGAAGAAAGAGGGAGGAGGGCTGAGGAGGAGGGGAAAGTAGGGAGCAGCAAAAAGAAGGGCTGAAGAAGAAAGCGGAGACCTCCTCACCATCCGCTTCATTATCATATTGATATTAATATTGCGAATGGTATTATTATCGTTAGTATTACTCCTACTACTACTACTACTACTACTACTACTACTACTACTACTACTACTACTACTACTACTACTACTACTACTACTAATACTACTAACTACTACTAACTACTACTACTACTACTACTACTACTACTACTACTACTA